TGCCCACTAATTCTTATTTGAAGATGAAGTGGAACTTGATACATTTGGGTCGTGCAGGCCTAAAAGTTTGTTCCCCACCACATATTTGTAAGAAGAAATAACTATCGCCTCATTTTAAAGATGAATTAAGTTTTTTACACCTCCGATTATTAAGTTAACTTTTTCACTCCCATTAAATGCGAAATAAGTTATACAATAAATTATGCGACAGACAGACGAAGATAATCGATAAAGTGTGAAATAATAATGCGACAATCAGACGAATATAATCGAACAAGTGCGATCTCATTATGCGATTAACTACGCTACAGACAAACGAAAATAATCGAACAAGTGCGATCTCATTATGCGATTAATTACGCGACAGACATACGAAGATAATTGATAAAATGCAAATAAAATATGCGATAACTATGCGACAACGAAGATAAATGATAAAGTGCAAAATATTTATGCGATAAACTACGCGAATAAAGGCGTAGATAATTGATAAAATTTTTCCATAATTGTGCGATGAACTATGCGACAAACAGACGAAAGCAATCGAGCAAGTGCAATCTCATTATGCTATAAACTACGCGACAAACAAACGAAAATAATGGATAAAGTGCAAAAAAAATTGTGTGATATACTATACGACAAATAGACAACTATAAATGATAAGGTGAGAATATTTATACGATAAACTATGCTAAAGACTGAAGAAGATAACTGATAAAGTGCGATATAATTATGCGATAAACTTTGCGACATACATGCGAAGATAATCGAGCAAGTGCAATCTCATTATGCGATGAACTACGCGACAGACAAACGAAGTTAATTGATAAATTGCGAAATAATAATGCGAAAGACAAATGAAGATAATTAATAAAATGTGAAATCATTATGCGACAAGCATAAGAAGATAATCGAGCAAGTGCAATTTAATTGTGCGATAATGTATGTGAAAGAAAGACGAAGTTAATTGAGCAAGTGCGAAATAACTTTGCGATCAACTATGAAAAAGACAGACGAAGATAATCGAGCAAGTGCGATCTCACAATGCGATGAACTACTATTCTATAGAGAAGCGGAGTTAATTGAGCAAGGGCAATCTCATTATACGATAAAATATGCGAATGATGGGCAAAGTTAATTGAGGGCATCACCGCCACAGCCGCCTCCGCCCCGCCGCCATCCCGGTGAGAGCATCACCGCCACAACCGCCTTCATCCCTACCTGCCGGAGCGTCCCCGCCACCACCGGATTCCACTGATCGACTGCGGCCGGAGAATCGGCGCTGCCGGCACAACAACACAACGGCCGTCCGCTTCAGCCATGCGGCCCAGTGAATCCCACAACCATCAAAACTGCACCAATGTGCAGCCCGTCGCAGCCCCATCCTCACCAGCGCGCCACGGCCACCCGACAAGCTGTAATGCTCTCCGACACGACGGCGAATAGTTAGGGTTTTCGTCAATTTCATTACCCGATTTCAAAAAAAACTGGTCGGTTGAACACATCAGCGGCGAGAAGCGGTACGTCCTCTCGGCCGGGCGATTCACGATGGCAAGGACGAGGGCCAAATTGGTCGGGAACACGTGAAACGTGTCTTGAGATTGAGGACTTTCTTTTTGAGAATTTGATATTTCACAGGGGTCTAATTGCAAATTTGAGAATTTTTATTATATTTCAATTTAACCTATGGGTGAAATCATTAATTATGAAAATTATATAAAATAATATTATTTTATATATTTTTTATACATATATAAAATATGTAATTTTTAACCAAAAAAATAATAAAGAAAATATATAAAAATATTAAAATACTAAAATATATTTTTATAATAAAATATAAAATATTTCATCAATTTAAGTTATTGCGATCCACGAACCGAATAATAAAATTAATTCAGTTCATTTTTAGTTTGAATTTTGAACATAAAAAAACTCAAATTTAATTCACAATATTATTAATCATTATCCACATTAGTTAATGTTAGATTGCACTATAGCGTTAGACGAAATGAACTTTAATGCGTTCAAAATTAATTTCTTTAAAAAATACTATTATTTAATTTCAACAGAATACTATAAAATATTAAATAAAAACTAAAAATTACTAAGTATATTTTAATTACATGAGTTATATAATAAGTGTAAAATAACGTTAATTAAAATACTCTTCCCTTGCTCGATTTCTGAGTTTTGGGGGAGGCCGACGTTGCCGGAGTAGGCTAGTGGTGTTAGGCTGCCTTGGTTGGGTGTCGGATCGGCTAGTGGTGTTAGCCGGTGGGGTGGTGTTCGTGGTTTTTTGCGGCTGGAGTGCGGGTCGTGTTCTCGGTTTGTTTTTGCGGCTTCGGTCATCGTCTTGCTAGGCCTTATGCAGTGGTGGGCGTGGTACCGGAACCTCGGAGCTCTCCTCGGAATCGACTTTGTCTTCTGTCCTTCTCGGATGTACCTGCTGTGGGAGGCTGTTATGTTCGTCTGTAGTTGCTTTTAGTTATTGTGTTTTCGTTTATTTGTTTTTGTTTAGTCGTTTGTGTTGGTGTTTATGTTAATTGTTGTGTTTTAGGTTTGGGCCGTTGGCCTCAGTCTGCTCGAGTGTGAACTTATTATCCTTTTGGGACCACACACTCGAGCATTACCCCGTTGGGGCCGTTTTAGTTTTGTGTCTTAGTGTTGAGTGGTTATTTCCCTGTTAGGGTCGGTTCTAGGCGGGCTTCATCATATCCTCTCATGTTTATTCAGCTGGTGGCTGCGTGTTGTCAGCTGGTGGTTGTAGTTTTGCACATTTGTGCCCTTATATAAAATTTCTATCGTTCCGGAAAAATGCACATAAAAAAAATACCCGTTCAATGAATGCACACTAATATTATACTGATGCACATTTGTGTTTGGGTGCTTGTACTTTATTGATTTTGTTCTTTTATATATATATTTTTTCAACCAAAATAATATAAAAATGATAAATAAGATTATTAACATGTTAAAAATAAATTTAATATAAAGAACACATTTCGATTAGTTAGAGTAATTCGGTTAACCGAACCGAGTAAACCATTTGATTATGTCCAATTTCAATTGATTTAGAACAAAAGTTTGGTTAACCAAACTGAGTAAACCAAGTTGTCATCCAAGTAGGCTCTATAACATTATTCTTGTTTGCATATATATTATTAATTTAATAAAAAAATAACATGTAATATTAAATAAAAAATATTAAAGACTAAACATGTTTTTAGAATAAATAATATAATTTATTTCGATTATTTTGGTTATTTATGTTAACCAACAAATTGAACCGACTATGTCAAAATTTTCAGTTCGAAATTTTATTTTTCGTTTTGATTATTTGTTTTTACTTTTAAAGCGCGTATCTATAGAAAAATATTGTGAAAATCACTTATCGAAATAAATGGTGTATTTATCAAATTTTTTAATAATTCCGTATACATATGACAATATTTTTTAATAGTTATATCTAGACACAATAATTTGCATCTAATGTGCCGTTATTATGCATAAATTAATATTTATTAAATTATAAATTACCGTTAAGTAATAAACTATACATATAAAAGTTCTAAAATTGCAAAATAGTCCCTTAAATATATCTAATTCTCCAAAAATAAACTCAGTCCCAAAACAATGAAACACCCATTCCCGTCATTCAATCTCAGCCCCAATTTCGCCCAATCACAACCCCAATTTCGCCGCTACCAACACTCAGTCGTCGGCGTCGCGTCATCCTGCCCCAACTGCCGCCATTCCCTCCCGCGACAGCCTGAGCCTCCACCTCGTATGGCTCCTCGCCGGAGCCTCATGCGGAGAAGGAGATGGGAGCGGCGACAGTGGACGTCGGCTTTGCCGGCGCGACAGAGCACCGCCCATTCAGATTCGGAGCGGTGGCCGAAGGGCGACGCCGGGGACCGCGACCACGATGAAGGCCCGGACGGGGGCACGGCGGAGACACGCTCGAATGCGCGACGGAGGCACGACCGGAGTAATCACCTAAATCGCGGCACTTTCTGGCGGGCGTCGGATGAACGGTGCATGCCGGAGGTACGGTGGAGGCCTTCTGCGGTACGACAGAAGCCGGCGGAGGCACGACAGCAATCTCTGGTGGGCTGGGCTTGTGTGTGTGTGTGTGTGTGTGTGCTGAGTGTGTGCATGTGTGTAGTGTATGTTTGTGTGGTATAAATATTAGGGTTGGTAGGTTGGTGTATAATGATCGATTTGACCCTATTGACTATTCAAATATGTACATTTCATCACAATATGTATGTTAATTTACCATATTATCATTAATGATTGACTAAATTTTGGCTTGATCATGAACATTGATATGATGAATCCAATGATTTAGATTTATTCTTATTTATTTCATTACTAGTTGTCTTACGGCCGTGCACGCACGGCCGACTCAAATTTAGTCTACAATCTATTGTAAATTTGTCGTCCAAAAAACATAACATAATTCAGATTCTGTTGTGCAATATATACTAAATACAAAGCTATTCACAAAGATGATCGCCTATTTCAAATTGCCTTTAAAACTTCTAGACAAATGATGCTTTGTAAAATTTATAATCCTAAAAGCGGCATGTAAATATTTTTTTTTTAATTATAGCCCGGTGATATCAAAAAAATTAAGCGACTACATTGTTGAAGTCAATTAACCGAAATAATGGCAACTTTAAAGTAAAGTAAGAGCAAACAGAAATTCATAAGAAACTACTATATTGATACAACAAAAAATTAAGAAAAGGTCCACTTTGTTTATGCACCCTGTCAAAGAATTGCTAAAGGTAAGACAATAAATGACAAGGATATAATCTAGCTAAATGGATTCCGCTCATAAAATCTAAATACATACCGAAATGGATTCCCCAACAAAACAATACTTATTTCGCTGAAAAATATTTAGAAGTGTCCCACAAACCTGCAAACATCAAACAGATCTACAAATATAAATCTTATTTGAATTTCAGCAGCATAATACAATTTACAAAATATATATATATATATATATATATAGTCAATTTAATACAAACATATTATACGTACGTGCATGATTTTATGGACTTCTGAGTGCCCTGATATAAATATATTAGACAAAAACTGTTGGAAACAAGGCACAAATATGCTGTAACTTTAATCACGTAACTTGAAAACACGCTGCCAGAAAACACAACATGCCATCTTAAAGAAAAATTGTACTTTCTGTCTTTATATATCAACCTTCTACATTTATTACGATAAATATACCAGAATATGATATGTGCACCTAATTGAAATGTCGCTGCAGTTTCTCATTAGTTAAATTTATACAGAACTGCTCAAAGCTGCAAGAGAAAGTGTGAGAAACATGAGAATAATCACTCTATAGCATGATCATCAAGCATTTAAAGTAAAAACCTTATCATCAAAGCTACAACTTCATATTTGTTGCAACCATAGATAATTAACTGGAAATAGAATACAAGGCAGAAAAGTAAAAATAGTACAATTGTAATGCATAGATGAAAGGAAACCATTCCATTAAACGTCATGCTAGAATGATCATCATTAAGATACTGCGTAGCATAAGAAATTATTGAAATATAGCAAAAACAGGGTTTCTAAATACGAAGAAGATTAAGCATATCGGTTAAGCACCTGTTTGTCTTAAAACCCTCAAAGCCATAAATATCCAACATCCCTGTTAAGAATTTTGAATTTGGATCTTGCCCAATAGACCAATAGAATGGTAAGTATAGACACAAGTTTTGAATTATTTTGCAAGTTGGAAGGATGGATTTAAAGATAGCCCAATTACCTCACATATGCTGGTCATCAATCAACGCCCCCATTCCAAGCTATGTTTTTTGTTTGAACAGGCTGTGTGTTGGTCGTGATTATGGATGTCGCCAGTTAAAGATGCCGTAGGAGCCTTATATTGTACACAGAGGAGAAAAAAACCAAGAATTTTCTTGAGTAAGTGTTCCTTAGAAAAACAATAAGAATTGATGTTTTTTTCCAAAGTGAAGAAGTGCAGGCTTGGTGAATCTCCAGTGCAAAAGTAGAAGTTGAGTCAAGAAAACTTGAGGGAGCAATATTATATCCACCTTATTTTTATTGTTAGTATCCTTATAAGAGTACGCAGATAATTCAAGTTCCCAGCCGCCGCATTAATTTCAACCATCAACATTTCAACAAACCATTTTCCGCCAAAAATGCCTCTTCTATACAGAACGTAGATCACAGGACTTGTTATCATTAAGTTCAGTCTGCCTTGAAACCTAAACCAACAGAATCCCAATCCATACTCACATGGTCCTAGTGATTTATTTAGAGGTCAAACAAAGAAGAAACAAAATATACCAACAATGAATCACCTATTCACATAAGCTATGAAAGGAAATATCATTCCGCTTTGAATCCAAGCATAATCCTGCTAGGAAAATACAAAACCAAAACCAGCGCGGGTCCACTCATTTAGTATTACATTTGGTTGGAAAGAAAATGTAAAACATAACCAGTAGAACATAACAGAGCTCAAAACAAAAAATAACTCTTTTTGTTTAATATTGTCTACACAATTCAATATACCTGCATCGAACGTAGTAAGGGGCTCAAACCGGCATTCTCTGCAAAAATTCTCGTTTTTTGCCACAAAAGCATCCACCTACAAGCAACATATATACAGTAATGAGAGAACTTGGTAGAGTCTGGAAGCATATAACATTACTTACAAATCAACAGCTCAATAGCCACAAATTTATAAAATCTGAAAATTTTACACAAAATCAGAAACCTTTTCACCAATTCTTTCTTATCAGCGGTCATGCACAGTAAGACAAAGGAGTTAGATGCACCAAAAGGGGACAGAAACACCCAACACATGCATTTTTTTTCCAGTCAAATTGCTGCACCCAATAAATTAAAGAAATGAACACTTCGTTGGTAAAAGATTGAAGGACTTTCCATTCAAGTACCAAAGTTAGGAAAACATCAAAATAATGACGAAAAATACCAAATCAAGGAGTAAAATCCAAGCTTCATTCCATAGGAAAACACCAAAATAATGACGAAAAAGAAGAGCATTTTTCCAGAATTAAGAACCAAAGGATAAATCCAAGATCCAAAGAAAAATAAAAATAAAAATAAAAAGAAAAGCGAAGTCACTGCGAACCCACTTCCTCAAAACATGCCATCACTTGAAAAACCCCAAATCCAGCACTAATCAATGAAAAATAAGAGAGATGAAAAGCCCCACCAAAAAGAATTTACCCATTACGTAAAGTTTGAAGACAACAAAGATTCGAATTTTATCCAAATCAATCCAACAAAACCCCAAATTTGCTGATAGAAGTTGCGATCTGGCAGTTCTTGATTCTCTCTGGAGTATCCACGGCGTCGGGCGTGCCAGAGGAGCCGAAGAATTCCGCGTTGAAGGTCACCGTGCCGAGGGTGGAGGTGCGGAGCAGGCGAAGCACGATTTTGGAGTGGGCGCAAGCTTGCAGGATGGCTCGGGTTCCGGTGGTGACCCGCCGGACCTTCACCTCCTTGCTCTCTCTTTCTCTCTCTTCGAAGTCCAGCGGTGTGGCCACGTGGAAAACGTCGTCGCAGCCGTCGGTATCGATATCACTGGATCTGCCGATGACATCGCCGCTGCTCAGGAAATGAGAGTAATAAGAGTAGTTGCTTGGTAGGGTTTGTAAAAAGAGTGAGACGTTTCTTTCTCAATCTTGCGTGCGCGAGATTTCTGTGTAAACGAATAGAGAAGTCAAAAAGCAAATCAGATTTTCCGGCAAAGCAAGTGCCAAATTAAATTACATGCCTAACCTCAAAAGCAGAAAAAATTGGGCAATTAAGGGGCAGTGAAGTAATTGCACATAAAGTTGGACACTTGTCAATTTTTTAACACACCAAAAATGGACACGTGTCGCCACCACAAAAAGCCTCACTTCTTCATATATAGATAAGAGAGATATTCCTTCCTCATATGGTCTTTTTTCTCTTTTAATTATTTTCCCTTCCTCTGTATGGTCCTTTTTGTCTTTTAATTATAATTACTAGTACAACACTCATGTATTACATGGGTGGCGACGGTGCCTCGTTCATGGACGGATTCATAAAAGTGGGATGGGTATCAGGACAAGTCAAATCCAAGACCGTCCCGGCCGACGCCCACCCTTACCATAAAGAATCAACATATTATAGATAATCAAAACCTAAATATATTTGGATTAGAAGTAACTAAATCTACCCAAGCCTAATAACGAAGCATATATTTTTGCCACATAGGATCCCGAAGAATGCGAGTCTGCCACATAGGCTCAGCACGTTCTCAATTAATATATAGGGAGGGATTTGAAATGAAGCCAAATATTATAAACGCGACAATGTTTCAATACCCCTCACAAAGTCCACGGAGCGCGCTTTCTCCTCGACATTAAAATCGCTGCTTCAACGATCCGTCTTCAATTTTTCCAACTCCCGTCAAGTCACGTCAATCTTACAGCCCCATTGCTTTTCACTGTCGCTTGGCCTTTGTGTTACACTCAATCACAAAATTACGGTTGCAAAAGGGAAAGTTTAGACCTAACCCTAACCCCTGGTCGCCGGTTGCCGCCTGAAGTGAGCTTTTTGTTTGCTCTTTTTCCGGTCGTCGTAGTTTCCTTTTTTTTTTTGAGGATTTTCGATGTATTTCTGAATCTGATTTTTTTTTATTTCTTTTGTGTTTTTTTGAAAGTTTTCGAAATGAAAGGAGGAAGTTCGAAAGCTGATTCGAGGAAAGCCGACAGCAGGTGAGTGATGTTACCTTGTCGAGCCTTTTGCGTTGTTATTTTTCACTTCATTTCTCTTTCCATCTCGCACTGTGTATTTTTTGGGTGTGTGTTTGTGTGTGCAATTTCTGTCTATTTTCTTTGAGTATTTTTTTATCTTTTATTTGGTGAATTCGTTTGCCATGGTTTCTACTGGATTGGGATACTTAATGCTCTGAACTACGCATCCATTAATAGATCGCGGTTGTGATAATTGTTATTTGTTCACCTTTTTTTCCTTAAAGAGTCGAATGAGCTTGAGTTTATTTTCCTGGTAGATCTGAGAATCAGTTAATCATATTACTATAAGTGAGATATATATATTTAATTTTCGATGTGGTAGCTATAGATTTCTGAGTTTTTTATGATTCATTTGGCATTTGATTATGTAGATCTGGTTGTTTGCAATTTTATGTTATTCTATGTTGAGCTTTATTTTTTATCTAAAAAATTTATTGTTGTGCGCGCATAACTTGTCAAAGATTTTTTTTTTTGACTTGAAAGACATTATATTGCTCACCGTAAATTATTTTGAGTCGTTCATTCAGATTTTACTGTTTGTCTATGTGATTTTTATCGAAGTGTATTTGTACTGACAAGTGAGAATAACCACACCTTTTTTTTCCATGTTTCATTCAACTTTTTACTCGTCTTGTTTGGTGGATTTTCTGAAATTAGGCTTGCTGTTAAGAAGCAGACAAAGAAAGAGAAGCAAGCAGCAAAGGATCCAAACAAACCCAAGAGAGCTCCAAGTGCTTTCTTTGTTTTCATGTATGTAATTTGCCCTGTTGTCTATCGACTTCTGAATGTTTTTGTTGGTACTATTTTCTTACTAATTGGTCAAGATCCTGTTCTGTAATTTGCATGCATTTCTAATATGCTCCACGATCATATTCATGTTGCAGGGAAGGCTTTAGGCAGCAATACAAGGAAAAGCACCCTAAAAACAAATCAGTTTCTGCTGTGGGTTTCACTCTCTTTTAATATTCCTACTCTTGAATCAGCCTACTCCTGTTTATAGTATTTTACACTTTTAATGGGGGCAAAATGTAGGTTGGCAAAGCTGCTGGTGAAAAGTGGAAGTCTATGACTGATGAGGTAACTGTATCTAGTTACTAGTTATCCAGACATTTGTGCTGAAATGTTACTCATTTTTGCTGTGACAAATTTGTTCATCTGGAATTTCTGACCAAAATGTGTAACAATGTCAATTATTAGGAAAAAGCACCCTTTGTGGCTAAGGCAGAGAAAAAGAAGAAGGAATATGAGCGACAGATGGAAGCCTACAACAGAAAACTGGTAACTAAGTATTTTATGATTCATCCTTCCATTTGTCTTCGTCTTTACTTTGTTCGTTGAATAACATATATATCTGTAACTTGCTGCATTGGCTTTTTTTCACATTGTAATAGTCTGGAGAAGGTGATGATGATGATGATGCATCAGACAAATCGAAGTCAGAGGTTGATGACGAGGATGATGAGGAAGGCAGTGAGGAGGTTGGTTTTGCACGTTGACACTGAGTGTGATTATCGATGAATTATAATTACAGACAATGTTGACAAATGTTTTTCTGTTCAATTTGGTGCAGGAGGAATAAGATGATGACTAGGAGAACATCAAGTGCGCAAGTCCTCGAACAAAGAATCTATTGTACAACTCTAGTGTTGATTTATCGACTTTTGACTGTTGGTGTATGTTCTGGACATGGAAATGACCCTACTTTGTGTTCATGCTTGTATTAGTAGTTTTACAGTCTGGACAACTTTGTTGCTGCTCTACAGCTTCTTAGACCATGGAAGTTGATGTGGTGTTGAATGAAAATGCTCTAGTGTTTCATTATTTTTCAGTTCATTTCTCTGTTTTTTATCACCATAAATCTATTGATGGTTGTCCAAAGATGGAGCTAAACCTGAGTTTCCAGTCTGGGATTATAGCAGTTTTTTTCCCTTAACAACTTTAATGGTGAGGTTTGGACAAGTTTAGGAACACCACTGTCTCATCTTTTGCCAATAAACATGATTGTTGAGGTTTTAAATTTTAATCTGGCGTTACAAACACAACACTGCCTAGCTAATAACACAATAATGAAGAAATTACTTCATTTGGGAGACTGTATAGGTATATTTTTCTAAGCTCATTTCTCTGGTTCAATCACGTTACGTCTCGAAGTTGGGTCCACACCAAAAAACACAAACCACTTGATATGGTCAGTCAACAAGATGGGCCGGTTTCGATTCAAAATTTTTGTTCAACCGGAACCAACCCGGCATTAACTGTAGGCCCGTTTAATGAACCGACGGTTTACAATTAAGAACTAGGTCGAACAGGCGGGTCTTTTTCTTTGTATATTTAATAGAATTGGAGAGGGGGGAATAAAAAATTGGACTTGAGCTTAGTTGACATTGTAAGTTAAAATATCAATTAAGTTGAAATATATTTTTACTAAAAAATAATATTTTAACTTATAGTATGTCAATTAAGTTGTCTTCATATCTCTTATCTTGGAAATCAAAGGTCTCGTAGTTCGCTTACCTACTTACCTTGATGAAGATGACGAAATGATACTTTGAATGATCTAGTAGCCGTATGCATAGTCGTACTCGTCTTCAGTTCCGCCAGTTCCAGTATTAGTAGTCTAGTACTAAAACCGTCCAGCTCTTCATCATTCTCTTTAGTTAGTATGGTCGTTTATGCTCTTCTTTCAGCCTTCTTTCAATCGCTCAATAGCACTTGAGTCTCTAAATTTTTGTGGTGTTAACCTTGATAGTCGTATGTCCAGAGTATATCCTCCTTCGCTAAATGTTTGTTTAACAGACACAATTGAGATCGGAACAACAAATCGAATTGTTTAACAGTCGTATGTCCAAAGTATATCCTCCTTCGCTAAATGTTTGTAAACAAATCGAATTTTTTTTATTCGATTCGATATTCGAATTCAAAATATTCGAATTCGAATACGAATAATGTTTTATATTCGAACGTTAAACGAATTCGCATTCGAATTTGTAGATATTATATTTAAAATTATTAAATATTTGATTCGTTAATGACAACTATATAAATTTTATAAATTATATATAGTATACATTTTGTTTATAATATATATATATATATATATATATATTTATATTCCTAATATTTTTATGACATAAAAAGTGAAAACATACCAAATTAACAATTTTCCCTAAAAACATCTCAAATTGGATAGGAAAAACATAAAAATATTTTTGTAATTATAATATTTTTTTGAAAACGAATTTCGAATCGAATCGAATAAGTTCGAATATTCTAAACGAATCGAATACTAATCAATAAATGAGTTCGATTACAAATCGAATACGAATTCGAATATTTTAACTAATCTGAATCAAATATCTTAGTATTCGCTTTGATTCGATTCGTTTACAACCCTACGAACAACACACTCCCTAAAGGAGATAAAAGAAAGAAAACACACAAAAACACAAGAAAAGAATCCTAGTAGCTAGACCAAATCCCTATCCACTTGCAGTCAAGCCACTCCTAGAATAAATAATTAATTTTATTTATTTTAATAATTAAAAATTAAATTACCTATTAATATTAATTTCAAAAATAAAAATTTTTAAACTAATTTAACTACAAAGTAGTTATCTGATATAAATTTAAAGAATTATAATATAAAATGGTAGTCGTGTAAGTGACAAGTCATTTTAAATATAAATAATAATATACTTTTTCAAAAAAATATTTAAAAACTAAATCAATTTTTGTTATTATTATTATTTAATTTTAAATATAATTTTCTTAACAAATATCCGTGTAGAACACGTGTATTGTACTAGTTTATAGTAATTGGTAAATACAAGGTGGTCCTATCCTTGTTAAATTTTGCTAATTTATGCTACGTAAGTAAGGTAATCCCTCCTATATATTAATTGAGAACGTGTTGAGCCTATGTGGCAGGCTCGCATGCTTCGGGATCCTATGTGGCAAAATTACATGCTTCGTTATTAGGCTTAGATAGATTTAATTTATGTTCGGATTATCTATAAATATGTTGATTATTTATGGTAGGGGTGGGCGCTGTTCGGGACGGTCCTGAATTTGACTTGTCCAGATACCCATCCCACTTTTATGAATTCGTATATAAACGGTCCGGGATGAAGCACCGTCCTTACCCATGTAATACATGGGTGTTGTACTAGTAAGATATGAATCATAAATAAAATGCACTTTAGGTTGTAGGCTGTTTTATTTGGACACGTGTTATAAATAAATCCACTGTAAAAAGAGGGACATGCAGTTTCTTCATGTTTAAGGGGTTTAACATTTGCTTTTCAATTGTTCGGTTTGTTTCATTCGTACCTTTGGTTAGTTCGACATGAAAATTCCGTACGTTCATACTTAGATTGATAAAGATTTGACGTTGGCTATAAATTGAGTACATCTATATCTATATAATTACTAGCTGATATATTTAATAAAATATTTAATAAAATTTATTTTCATTTTCCTCTAAATGGAGTTACATTTTTTTTAATCAATTACTCACTAATCTGCTAAAACCGTTACACATTAATATATATATTTTTATTATTTATTTTTAGGATCAGTTACTAAATTAATTCTAAATTTGATAGCAAAATATTCAAATGTGTAACGACTAAAATTGGAACTTAAAGTTGATTGACACATTCAGACCTGTAATCGATATATTTGGTTGCATTGTTGGAAGAAAAATATGATTGACACATATTTTATTTTTCTAAAAATAAAAAACACCAATAATTTTTTTTTATGTTAATTTTCTTAATATATGCCACAAATATATAAATTATTTTATTCATGTTACTAATGTAAACGTTGCATGGTTAAAATAAAATTTAAATTTCAATTAATTTTAAATGATAAAAAAGAAGGTAACTTGTAACTTTTTTATATGTAAAATTCATTACATATAATTTTTTTAGCATAACTAATTGATTCTTTATATAACCTGTAACATTTTTTGTGCCACAGTTTTCAGTTGAAGTAAAAAATATCACCAAAAGAGAAGCATCTGGCAAACAAAATCATTGAGAATAACACCAAGCAGGTAGTGTTTTTAAATTACAGACATATTTTTTGTTTAAATATTTCAAATATTATATTTACATACAGAACATGATTAAACATTTTGATTATTGATAGGTCGGAAAATGTGCCAATTTTATATATTTAATAGTGTATTTTTATACACTAAATTTAGTTGCACAATTATATTTTTTGACTTATTTATTATTTGGATAGATTCATATACATTGATATTTTTTATGTTTATTTACGGCATATTACGAAGAAGTGACGAATGTCCAAGCATTTTTTGAGGTGCTCAAATACCGGATTGATTACGGCCCTTTAATCCTTTTGGCTGACAACAAATAATTAAAAAAAAAGAGGAAAATAAAAAGCTTTGAGCCGCCACGCTGTCAAAGGAATTCACATAGCAACTTTGTGAAGAAGAGTCCAAAGCACTCACGCAAGGAAAAAAAATGATTTGGGAATCTTAATGCAACCAGGATTTTTGCTAGTTGGAGGGGACTTATTTTTACGGGACAGAAAAAAAGAAAAAGAAAAGCCGAGAGTACAAACGGAGAGTAGTACACGTACGGACCGAGAGAGAAGATCATCTAAGCGGAGGGAAGCCCCACTGCATACAAGGGAGATAGCTATTCTCTCTTTTATCTTCTAGTATTTATTCTCATTAGTATGTTAGGCTAGACTTTTTATCCAGTTTTAGGGGATGTTTGAACCCTAATTCCGATTTGTCTATGAATTGGATGATCTTTATTTTTATCGTTGGTTAATCTAGATGTCGTATTTATTTTTGTTGATGAGTTGATTCATGCTATCTGTGTCGAATGTTTATGACTTATGAGTGTTTGATTTAGTTTGGCCAGCTAGGTTGAATATCCATGATTTTATTGCTAGATTCGGGACTTTAATCCGTAATTGTTATTGTCTCGTTTCGTTAGTAGTAAACTAGGGGTCGTGCATCTCTAGGGTGGCGTGAACATAAGTTAAACGGTCCGAGCTTTTGCGTCTGTTGCTTAGACTGATCTATTTTCCTATGAATTAATGCTGCTAGTGAATTAAATCTAGAGAGCTTATTCTAGGTTGCCAACTAGTTAGGTTTAGTCGAAGAGCTTATTTCGATTAAATATTTTGGTAAGGGAAAATTCGGTTAACAGAGCTTGTTGTTAGCTAGGGTAGGTAATTCATTAGCAATCTAGAGAAAGCGTTAAAATTAATTAACGGTAGATTTAGATTGGGTGATAACTGAACCGAAAACTGGACTTCTCTTATTTTATTTTATTTTTATTTTATTCTATTATTTTTATTTTTAGTTTTATAATATCAATCCCTCCTTTTTACTGCTTTCTTAGTTTTAATTCAATTAATACGAAATTGTCACAATTTAGTTCCTACTCCTCGTGGGATCGACCCTTGCTCGCCACTACTACTAGTTAGTAGAGGTTAGTTGAGGAAAAAATTATAAATTTAAATTTGCCGCGTTGCGACGCGCGGTCAAATTTTGGCGCTGTTGCCGGGGAGTGGCGCAGTTGAGTTGTGATATTTTAGTGTTAATTGAATTAGGTAGTTAGATTAGTTTTATTTCATTTTTCTTTTACTCTTTTAATCTCCCTTTTATTTTATTTTATTTCTTTTGCAGTTGGTATTTGTTTGATATGGATGCAACTTGGGGCCCGAATTGTGAGTACAATTCTTATTATGGAATGAGAGGAGAAAGAATAGATCCACATTGTGAGGCTAGGATGTCGGCTATGATCCAAGGAGCCATTGAGAGTGTTCGTCAA